TGAGAGCTGGATGCCCTCGAGCCGTCCGACGTGGGCGATGGCCCGCGTTTGGACGAGGAGAGACACCCGCGTTTGCACACCAAAGGCGCTGCCTCACGGTATGCGGGGGGTGGAGAGGTGTTCCGTCCGCTTAAACGTATTTCGAGGTCGGGGTCGGACACCCTAGGATTGGCGCCGGCACAGTTTGCCGGCGATTCTCTCGTGTGGGCAGCTGCGCACGGAAGTATTAGGGAGGAAGGGAGCAGGCCCGGTTTGTCCATAGGGCGACCGGTGCTGGCAAACTAACCCCTACAGCGGGGGCGGCCGGATCCCAAATGCCAGGCAACCGGTCTTCTCTCTCGAGTGACTGCGCCCAAGAGTATTAGGGGTCGGCGCGGCCGATTTGTCCACTGGGCGGTTGGTCGGGCGGGCCCCTAGAGCGGAGAGCCCGGAGGGCGACGATTGCGACACGGTAATGTCGCGCCCCCGGGTGGAGCATCATCTGGCGCCCACGGCGGTACACAACATGGATGAGTCGCAACACCCTTTCGCCGTTGTCCATTCGTGGGGCTCCCCGCGTGGCGGCGACCTTGACGGTGCCCACAGGGTCGGAGATGTGAAAAACCCTTATGTGGGTGACCCTTAGGGCCATAGACGAGATTAAAAAAGTCGCGGAAAGATCCGGGAACATAAAAGGGACCTTCCGCGGCGCTTTGTGAGAGGCTGCGGCCAAATTAACGGCCTGCAGCCTTACACTAGTAAGGAGGGCTAACAACATCGGCGGCCCTGAAACCAACGAGGAGTCGAGGAGAGAGCAGGCGCTGGCTGTCGAGATGGGGCGTCTCAGAGATAAGAACGTCCTGTTGAGGCACCAGCAAAACCGCCTGCGTGAGGAATTAGGAAGGGGGGACCACCTGGTCTCCCCGCAGAATCAAGAGACTCCTTGCTGGAGAGAAAGAGGGTAAATGGAGGTGAAGGGTTCTCCTCTTCTTCGAACTCCCCTATTCCCGCCGGGACGAAGAGGAAAAGAGCGCCAGGGGGGCGAAGGGGACTAGGGCCAGGTCTCTTATGTCTGCCTCCCCCTCCGCCTCCTCAGGCAAGGAGCCCACGGAGGGCGTGGAGCCGATGGGGGGAACTGGTGGAGGGACCCTTCCCCCATGGTTCTGTCCTCCCTATGCGCGCGGGACAACGCGCAGCGCCAGGTCTCCTCCAGGGAAACACCGCGCCGAAAAGAGAGGAGGGCGGCTGAGGCGTCGACGGGGAGTGGTGACGGGACTGCGTGATCCGCCGATGCCACAGCCACGCAAAAAGAAACTCGCCGACTGCAAGCAATCGATAGAAAAAGGAGGAGGGACCCGGACTGCCGGGAAGCATCCGGGTCGGACAAAAACCGCGACGGCGGGGAGGGTAGTCCAGCCCATAGCCCCGGTGTGCAAGCAGCCCATGGGGGGGTCCGGGGGACATAGAGGCTTTGGTGACGGCCTTGGTTCTCCGGATCCTAGAGGTCATGAGTATGTTGCCTCCTCCTCGTCCGGAAGGACAGGCCACCCCTCGAGATCGGGATGCCCCCGGGCGCGCGAATGATGAAGTTGGTGTTGCGAGGGGCGCGGGACGCCGGGGCCCACCTCCTATCCCGAAACTTCCTCTCCTCCCTCTGTTCCTGCCGGCACGAGTTGGCCTGGCAGGGACGAGCGGGGAAGAAAAAAAAGAAAAAAGAGGAAGAAGAAAAATAAGGATGCGCCAGCAGATACGAGTCGTCCCGTGCACCTGTGGTGATGGGGGGTTCCTTTCCCTGTACCGGACCGTGACGTGGTCCGTGAGGAACCCCAATCCCACCCCTCCCGACGCCGGATCCGAAACATGGGCCCGGGTTGTTGGAAGGAGGGAGAAGAAGGAGAAAGGAGTGGGGGCAAAGCCCCCCAATCCGTCTCCCAAGGACCGCGGCAACAACAGTCGCGAACGTGGGGAGACGAGAAAGGGAAAAACCCCCAGGCCAAGGGCAGGAAGAATAATGTCCTGCCCAAGGCTCCTCGCGCCGCCGCTTTGACGATAAGCTGTCCACCTGACAGCTACGCCGAGGGGCGTACGTCGGGCGAGGGGACCTCGTCATGCGGCGAGCGAGGCGTCAGATTGACCTAGGGGAAATAGGGATCGGGGTGATCAGGACCAGGAGGGCCGCCACGTGCGCCCTGGTCCTTGAGATCCCCGGTCCCGATGGACATGCCAGGGCGAATGCCCTGGCTAGTAAAATATCCTTTTCGCAGAAAAAGAGGATGTGCGAATTGTGCGTCCGGTGAAGAGGGCCAATATTTCGGGCCGATATAAGAGGACCAATATTGAAAGGGTTCGCGACCATGAGGAATCGGTCGCCTTGGGGGATGTGGTCTCCGCAGTGGTCGCCGTTGGGTGTTGCGGGCCCGGAGACTTAAAGGCCGGGGAAATTTGCCCTGGAGGGACAATATGGGGACACTATGGCTCCGGTATCCCCTTACAGCCGCGAGGAAGATCACGGACGGAGGACACCTACGTGTGGGATGGTCCTTCGTCCGCGTGGAGGCCTTGGCACGGCGTTCGCTCCAATTCTTTAGATGCTTGAAGTGCGGCTACGTCAGGGTTTCCTGCAAGAGTAAAGCCGACCGCAGTGGTCTTTGCTATCATTGCGGTTCGGCGGGTTACAGGCCGCTACGTGCGATGCCGGCGACATGTCCGGTGTGTCGCGACGCTGGTCGGCCCTGTGGCCACAGAGTGGGAGGTCCCACTTGCCAGATGGCCAAGCGGGACAAAGGGGGGTAGAAGGGGGAGGAGGAGGCTTAAGGCCCCCACTGCTTCTCCCCCCTCCCCTTGGGAAGGAAAAGGGACCTCCCCTCAAAATACCAGGGGGGGCCTCAGTCGGAAACCCCGGTCTCTCCTGCGGGCCCTGCTCCTAAGGAGCAAAGGGTCTCGCGGAAAACGTTAATAAAAAGTGGGGTGCTTTGCGGGAAAAGGGGATCCCAAATAGAGGTCCCCTTCCCGCAAAGAAAACAGAGAAGAACCTGGAGGAGAGTAACGGGAAGCCGTAATGACGATCTATCTCCTCCAGGCGGACCTCAACGGCGCTCGTGGAGCCTAAGAACTGTTTTTGCAGTTCCTCCACAAGCGCAGTGCGGGTTTGGGAATTGCCGCCGAGCCCCACTCCGTCCCCTGGAATCACCCAGGTATAATGGGTAACGTTGTGGGGCGGGGTGGTCGGTGCTCGGTGACGATCTTCTGGAGAAGAAGCGAAGCCTCTCCTTCCATCTTTCTGACAGTGAGGGGGGAGGCTATGTCGCGGTCGAGTGCGGGGCCCTGGACGTAATCGGGGTTTAAGTCCCGCCCTCGTGGGACCTAGCCTAATTCAAGCATCTCCTGGACCGGCTGAAGGACCTCATGATGAGGCGCCCCCAAAGGCCGGTCCTGGTGGTCGGGAACTTCAATGCCAAGTCGGCGTTGTGGGGGTTCTCGGCCAGGTGCCGCAGGGGCGAGGTCATGGACAAATGGGTCGAGTCTCACGGCCTCTGCATCATCAACAGAGGCCGAAGGAGCAGCTTCGTTGGGTCGCAGAGGAGATCAGTGACAGATGTCACTTTGGCCCCCTGCGACCCGACTTATCACGGAATGGAAAGTGGAGACCGAGGTGGAGAACCTGTCGGACTATAGATATATTATGGTCCGGCTGGTTGTCATCCCGGAGGAGGTGCTCCGGAGACGCGATCAAGGGGACGCCCGGCAACAAAGATGAGCCCTCCAAAAACACGACCGCGACAAGCTGATGGCCACCATATTGGCGGCCACATGGGCGGAGACGGGTCCCACACCTGGGACCCGACTCGGTATTGAGGCAGAAGTTGTCGGGATCCAGGGCATGATGACGGCGGCGTGTGATGCCGCTATGTCCCAATCCCGGCCGCACCCCCGCCGGTCCGTGTACTGGTGGTCGGCGGAGATTGCCGAACTGAAGCACTCCGCCGGCCAAGCCAGGAAAGATATGAACCGGCGGGGGAAGAATAGAGATAGCAGGGTGGCCGCCGATAGGGCTTACCGCGAAAAACGGGAGGCCCTCAAGGCGGCCATCATTACGGCCAAAGCCCGTGCCTGGGATGACCTGGTTTCCACCATCGACAGGGATCCGTGGGGGCGCCCGTATCACATAGTGATGAGGCGCCTGCGCACTTAGGCGCCCCCACCAACAATGTCCCTGGACCCCAGCTTCCTTGATAAAGTTGTGGGGCCCTCTTTCCATGGGGGGAAGTCTATATTCCCTCCTACGAAGCCCTCCCTTCAGGGAAAGATAAGGGAGTCGGGGTGATGATGGTGGAGATGGATGAGGCTCGGCGCCAAGAAAAGAACGCCGGACTCTGACGGTATCCCGGGCATAATTTGGACCTTGGCCATGAGGGTGGGAGAGGTGGAGAGCCGCATAATGCGGTTCTTCACCTCCTGCTTGAAGACCGGGATGTTCCCTAGCCCCTGGAAGAGGGCCAACTTGGTCCTCTTCAAAAAGGGGGGCAAGGCGGAGGATAGCCCTTCCGCTTACAAGCCGATATGTCTGCTGGACGAGGCGTGTAAGTTATTCGAGAGAATAATACACTCCCGCCTCGTCCGGCATCTATCCCAGGGTAGTCCCACGCACAACAAGATACAGTACGGCTTCCGGAAAGGACAGTCAAGCGTGGATGCGATTCTACGCGTCCGGTCCTTCTCGGAGGCCGTCGTGAGGAGGGGGGGAGTTGTGTTGGCGGTGTCACTCGACATCGCCAACGCCTTCAACTCTTTCCCTTGGGACCAGGTGGAGGCGGGTTTGGCACATTTTAGGGTCACCCCCCCCCCCCCCCCCACCTGGTCTCAATTATCACCGCAACAAACTCCAGTGCAGAAGGGCGATCTACCGCGGTGTTCCGCAGGAGTCCGTGCTACGACCCCTATTATGGAACATCGTGTACGACCAAATCCTCCGCCTTGCCCTCCCCCCCAGCTGCACCGTCGTCTGCTACGCAGACGACACTATGGTGCTGGCCGGAGGCAGGGGCTGGCGGGAAGCCCTGAATATAATATGTCTGGTAGTGGACCAGGTGGTAAGCTTCCTTAATAGGGTGGGCTTCAAAGTGGCTCCCCTGAAGACTGAGATCATGTTTGTGCATGATGGATCTAGGGGGGAGCCACCTAGAACCCGGGTCCGGATCGACAACATCTCCGTGAAGGCGGGTCCCACATTCGGACTCGTCTTGGATAGTACATGGGGGTTTCAGAAGAATTTTGAACTTCTGATCCCTAAGTTAGGCAGGGCGGCGAACATGTTGGGTAGCCTCCTGCCCAACCTCGGCGACCCAAAAAGAAAGGCGCGGTGGCTGTATGTCGGCGTCGTCCACTCCATGTCCCTTTACGGGGCCCCGGTCTGGGCCAGCGAGATGGCGACCACCCAGCGCATTACAACGTTGGGATACCGCGCTCAACGGTGGATCGCCAGGGAGCGGTGCACTTGGACACGGTGCATTTGGACATAGCCAAACACAGCACCGTGTGATTAGAGACATTTGTAGGGTCCCTTGGAACAGCGACTTGTGATTGAACTGCCAATTGCCCCGTGTCCAACTGATATACACCCGGGTCGCCATCCGTCTCGCCCGGGCCTATAGGACAACGTCGCATATCGCCGCCGCAGCACTGGCCGGTCTCCCCCCGCTGGAGCTCTTTGCGCAAATGCACGCCGAGAATTATCGGCGTGTAAAGGAGCTCCAGAGTAGGAGAGACGAAGAACATCTGGCCAGGGTCATACGTTTGACAAAAGAGCTAGTCAGCGCTTCCTCCTTAGGTGGAACCTCCATCTCGAGAGGGTGACGGTCCTGTCGGGACGGAGGGTCGCCGAGGCCACCGGCCCTGTCTACAGGAATGGGTAGACAACTCTCCGCGGACAACTCTCCGCATAACTTCCTGGACACCCTCGGCCGCCGGGCGGGTAACAACTCGCCTCCACTCCCGAGCCGGGGGAAGACTTTCCCCTCGGCCCGTTCCAGTACATCCTCCGTGACCGGATGTGACCGTCCCCCCGTCCGATTATACCATATTTACTAGGGGTAGTGTAGGCCATGTCCGGTCCCGTCCGGACCCGTGCCCGCGGAGAGTTGTCTTTCCGGACAACGCAGGTACTTACCGGACAACGCAGGTACTTACCGGACATGGATCTTTCGGTGAGTACCTGCACAAGATTGGAAGGGAACTTACCTCCTGCTGCCACCACTGTGATGCCAAGGTGGACTCGGCGCAACACACCCTGGAGGAGTGTTCCTTTTGGGTGGAGGAGCGTCCTAATAAAGTGGTGGGGGCGAACCTTTCCCTCCGGCTCTTATCAGGGCCATGCTTGAGGGAGATGAGAAGTAGTCCGCCGTCACCTCCTTCTGCGACAGCACCCTGTCGCAGAAGGAGGACGCGGAAAGAGAGAGGAGGAGTGAAATCGCCCCTCGGGATGAAAAGAAGCGCCGAAAAAGAAGGAGAAAAGCGCCTCTCGTACCCACGTATTTGCGCGGAATAGAAGGACGGCGCACCCGTGGGCGGGGGGGGGGACGTCACCGCCGGCATTCCCTACCCCGGGATATCTGCTGGTGCACTCCTGTTATCACCCTCCCTTCTATGCCGCCCGGTGGGGGGGTGATAACAGGAGGCGCCTGCTGAGGGGGGAGACGCACCGTGACTAAAAGTCAAACCAAGCTCCTCCGGGAAGGAGATAGGGTGGCTGGTCCACCAGCGAAAGGGCCACTCACCCCCCTCTCAGGGTACGGGCTCTCCTGACCGATGGTGGTAAAAGAACACAATGACTCCCCTCCCATAACCTCGGTCGGGAACGAAGGGGCGGACCGGGTCCGGACGGGACCGGACATAGCCTACACTACCCCTAGTAAATATGGTATAATCGAACGGGGGGCCCACATCCGGTCACGGAGGATGTACTGGAACGGGCCGAGGGGAAAGTCTTCCCCCGGCTCGGGAGTGGAGGCGAGTTGTTACCCGCCCGGCGGCCGAGGGTGTCCAGGAAGTTATGCGCAAGCGGTTCCCGGGGCGCCCTTGCAATAGCCGCAACCAGAGGTTTTAATGGATAGGCCCCCTCCCTGGTTTTGTCGAGAGGGGGGTGAGTCCCACACTACCCCTGGAGAAGTCCCATATTCCCTGGGGGTGTGCGTAATGCATTTCCTCTGCATTAACAAAAAAAAATAAGGTTCATTTTCGAAATTGACGTCAGATATGCTTATTTCGTTCTGTATCGTCTTTTGGGTGACAATGCGTGTTTGTGTAATTCTGCCCCCTCAGAAGTACGCCCAATATCTTGAAAATTATTTTCAAAAATTCCAAATTCGCGCCCATATCGTTAGATTCATCATAGTAGTACATTCGGATTCTTGCGCATGCCCAGTAGTACCTATTCTGGGTATAAGCCGAAAGTCGGTCATGTTAATGCAGGTTAGGTCATGTAGTGTTAGCATGTAGAGCAGCCTCTAAAATAGTTTTTTAGATTTTTTAAACTAACATTCGCGCTTAAAATAAGTTAATTTTCGAAATTGACGTCAGATGTGCTTATTTCGTTCTATATCGTCTCCTGGATGACAATGCGTGTTTGTGTCACTCTGCTCCCTCAGAAGCACACCCAGTATCTTGAAAATTATTTTTCAAAAAGTCGCGTCCATAACGTTAGATCCAACGTAGTAGTAGAATATTTATGTTCTCGTGCATGCGCGGTGGTCCTATCCATCGCAATGGCCTAAATTCGTTATGGCAGGTTATAGATTATGTCGCGTTAGCGTATAGAGCACAATCTGAGATGGTTTCTTAGGGTTTTTTAATGAAACATTCGCGGTTGAAAATGTTTATTTTCAAAAATTACGTCAGATATATTTATTTCATTCTGTATCGTCTCCTGGGTGACAATACGTGCTTGTATCACTCTGCTCCCTGTTGATCGGTGTTGGGGGCTCGGCCACATCCGGGCGGCCTGCTCCGCGTCTGTGGACCGGAGCGGGTTATGTTACCGGTGTGGCCGGGCGGGGCACATCGCGCGGGATTGCGTAGAGGGCGTCTCCTGCGCGGTGTGCCATGAAGAGAGTCGGCAGGCGGGTCACCGTATGGGGGGGCCCGCCTGCCCCGTGAGGACGAGAGATTGTGGCTCGCGGGCTTGGCCCCCGAGACACAGGAGGGGCCGACCGCCGAATGCGAACGGTATTGGCCTCCCTTAGGGAGACGAGCCGGCGGACCCTGGGAGAACGTCCCGGGTCACAGACCGGGGCCATGGCGCCGGCCGAACATCAGGCCGGCGACGGGGGGGTCGGTATCGGGCGAGTTTCGTCCCTACCGGTCCCCCCTCTCCCCTACGGGTCGCTTGGGGGGTGTGCGGGGGCGCACCCTCCGAACATAGCGGCCCGGGAGGGAGGCGGCACGGTGTTGGGTCGCACCGCGCCGCTGCTCAGGAGAGGCGCGACCGGGGGTGATTTATTACCCCCGGGCCGGGAGGGGTCCTCAGGACTGCGGAGGGGGGTCCGCGGAAGTTATACGCAAGTGGTCCCCGCGGGCCCCCTGATGACCGCTGAGGACGGACCTGCCAGAGGTTTTTAGTGGGTAGGGCCCCCGTCGAGTTTCTCGGCGGGGGAGGAGCCCCACATAACCCGCGGTCTCCTCCCGGAGGCGTAAAGCATTTCCCCTGGTTTAAAAAAAAAAAAAAAACTTCGGTACCAGTCTCTCGGGTGGGCAGTAGCGTCCGAAAGGGGAGGGGAGCGCGCCCGGTCCTCAAGACGATTGGTGCGGGCGAACCTACTCCACTGCGGGGGCTGCAGGGTCCCTAATGTCTGTATGGCAACCAGCCTCCCGGGTAAGCAGCTGCGCTCGGGAGTAGTAGGATCTTCTGTAAACATGGTCAGATGGTTGGAACCGTGCGGCGCGCCCATGGGCGCGTCGTGCGGGTTCACCGAGGATCCACAACGGGGGGGCAGGACGGGCTCCTGAGGCTCAGTGGAGCCAAACCGGCCAAGGTGGCGGCCCGAAAAGCCGCTAGGATTGGGGGGCCGCCGTTATGCCCCCCATTAAAACACATGATGGATAAAAAGAAGGAAAAAACTGGCGGCGGGTCAGATACGCCGCACCGGTACGGAAGGGTTACGGTCCCAGCCCCTTCTCCCTGTCGTCATCTTATGATGGGCCGAAAAAAGATTTGAAAGCCGGCGCGTCTACGGCGGGCGCGTCGGTGGCTCGGGCTACCGCCGCGAGGAGTGCGGAGAGAGAAAGGGAAAGGAGAGGAAGCTACGGGGGCAGCGAAGAAAGAAAGAATAGGAAAAGATCGAGCAGTAGGAGCAGGAGTGGAAGCGTGAGAGGGGATAGGAGTATGGGACGGGAAGTGTCGGCGAAGGGAAGGGGGAAAGGAACGGAACAGCGGAGCGATGAGAGCGAGGGAGCGGTGCACTTGGACACGGTGCATTTGGACACAGCCAATCACAGCACCGTGTGATTAGAGACATTTGTAGGGTCCCTTGTAATAGCGACTTGTGATTGGACTGTGTCCAATTGCCCCGTGTCCAACTGATATACACCCGAGAGCGAAAGTAGCGGAGGGGGAGACCCCAAACAGGCCAGGTTGGAGCCTGGAGCAGGGGAGGAAAAGGAAATGAAGGAAAAGGAAGGGGAAGGGTCTTTTTCAGGATCTCAGAGAGACCGAAAAAGAATATGAGGCGGAGGGAATGCCCGACATGGGAAGGCCCGAGAAGGTCCTGGAATTTATCCGGGACCAACTCTGGTACATAAGAGGATTGGTGAAGGAGGTGACCCAGATGGCGGGGCGCTCCAAGAGCATGAGCGGAACCGAAAAGAGCACTGTGAAAAGGCTAAAAGAGGGTGTCGACGAGGCCGTGCAGGACGTACAGGATATTGCACGGTGGGGTGTTGAAGCCCTCGTGACCAGAAAGGTGAGGATGACGAGGAAAGATGGGTTAGGAAGATAGAAGGAGAGGTGGGACGACTGAGAGAGGAGCTAAAGGAAGACAGAGAGGAGATATTGAGGTTGAAAGTGCAAAAGGGGGACGAGGTTCCGCGCGGGCCGCAGCCTGATGAGGAGGATAGGGCCACCTCCCCGTTCCCCAAATTCCCGCCCGACAGGAGGGACCGCGCGACATCTCCGTTGTGGAGTGCGGCCCTTGGTGGGGCGGGGGAGGTGCCGACGAGCCGGACCTCCTCCATCCTTGTGGGCCGGGTGACCGCGGCCCTAGGGAGCGACGCCCTGAGCTTAGCCGCCAGAGCGTCCGCCTCTCTTTCCTTTTCGGGTCCAGCTAGCCCGAAGAGGAGGCCGTCTCCTGCGGCCCTCTTCACGAATGCTGAATGGGCCGGACCCCATTTTTCCCTGGAGCAATGTCCCCTCTCGTCTTACGGAAGGCCTCCGCATAAGAGAGATTCCTCGGCTCGAGGCCCACCGCCGGCTGTGCCGGCAGCGCCCTCCTCATCGCAGGCCGCACCGGGCCCGGCTGTTCCCTGCCGCCCCCTCTGGGACCCCTCCTCCCTCTCCTGCCGCCCCTCCCGCCAGCCACGGATCAACCGCGGTCTCTCGGGGACGCTGCAGCAGGTCAATGTAGACGTCCCTTAAAGCGTCGTCTACAATATGCGGAGTAAGCTTAGAGTAAGAAGTAAGCCGTAAGAATTGGCCAATCGTAGTTGATTATTATAAAAATAATCGTCTATAATTGGTTAATTCTTACGGTTTACTTCTTACTCCAAACTTACTCCACATATTGTAGACGACGCTTCAGACATTATTAATGGCTCCTGCCCACAGGACGCGGCAACACTTGCCGCGCGGTGGAAATTCGTGCGACAGCCAATCAATATGCTGTTTTTCGTAATAACCATGTAGCTCTTACGAGAAAACAACATA